TATACCCAAATCTAATAAAAACTCATTTTTCATTTTTGGGGTAGTTTCCGCCCTTTCTACTGCAAAGCGCCCATATATGTTACATGCATGTCTGTGAAATTATTATATGTGAATGCACTTTAAATATACTATAATATTGGCAGTCTATAATAATATCGACAGTCTATAATAATATAGGCAGTCCATAATAATATAGTCTATAATAATATAGGCAGTCTACAATAATATAGGCAATCAAAAATAATTTAGACACAACATTTTGAAACGCTGTGGCTAAAATAGTAAAAAAATTTCGACATTAAGTCTGCCGTAAATCATCCATAATTTAGGCACCCATGTATAATTATAGAGGAGTACGATTATTAAATACATTCTTAATATTTAAATAATATCGTTTCACTAATTATACATTAAAAGAAATCATTTTTACACGTATTATAAATAAAGCAATGTTTATACAAATAGTTTTAATTTACTTTATTGTCAAATAAAATGGTAATACAGTATGAACAAAAAATTGTTTTCGTGTTTTCAAAAAATTGTTGCTATATTAATTCGACTATAAATTGAAAACAAAAAAAAAGATTTATTCATTGAAAATCAACCGATTTTGATCAACCCAATCGAACCATTCTTTCCACATTTCGTTACTGCAAAGTGTTTTCCTATCTCCAAAAATAATAAGTCCCCTTTTTGCTCGAGTAAGCATGACATTGAATCGACGTTCATCATCCAAAAATCCAATTCTTTCGTTTTCATTACAACGGACACAAGTGATAAGTATCAGTTCCTTCTCTCGTCCCTGAAACCCATCGGCAGTTTTTACTTCAATCTTTTGAAAAGATTCGTTTTTACAGTCTTTTAACGCGTTGTTCACTGTTTCCAATTGAGCACTATACAAACTAATGATACCAATTTCCTGGGGAGTCGCTCCCCCAGAATCTACTATAAATTTCATTTTGCTGACTAAATTATTGACTTCTTCCGAGTTATATTTTGAACTTTTCAAAGACAATTCTTTTCCAGAAACTTGAACAAATGATACTGGAATAGCTGGATTTGGCCACGTGAATCCATTTATCAAGGGTCTTTGTTCCTCTTTCACACCATCTTTTAATTTTTTGTCGTAAAATTTTTGATTTGGAAATTGAGAAATTCCGGGATGCATATGGTACTGAGTGTCAAGTAAGTAGTGTGGATATGATTTTTCAATCATTCGTTCAAACATTGAAATTGAATATCCGACTTCCTTAGCTTTCGGTAAGCAAAATGGTGGCAGTTGCTTATGATCACCAACTAATAGAAAACGGTCACATTTTTTTGCTAACGGAATAAGACAAATTGGCTCAGATACTTGTGAGGCTTCATCTACAATAATAAAACAAAATTCGAACTTTTCCAAGAGAATTGTACCGCACCCAACACAGGTTGCAAAAACAACTTTGGCTTCTTTAAGCTTTTTCTTAGAATCTTTAGAATGAATTTTTTTAGGTGTCCCATCTAATCCAACTTCAAGAGTAATGGGAAGTAATTCATTATGAATAGAATTAATGTCACCAATACGAACTATATCAATTCCTCCACGCTTAACTAAAAGTAAGGCAACATTATCTACTGCAGCATTAGTAGCTGCTGTTACTAGAATAGGTTTATCTGGATTACTATTAAGAAGTTGTAATATTAGATGAAAAATGCTCTTTGTTTTTCCAGTTCCTGCGGGACCTTGCCAGAGTGTAAAAGGTCCAATTTTGGCCTGTTTAATAGCTATTTTTTGACTGTCATTAAGTTCTAGATTATCATTATGAGATGCTATTGATGATTCTGTGTCAGTTGTAGTAAACTTTTCTGGTTCAAATATAATTTCCAAAAGTTTAGATACTTCCTCATCTTGGGTTGGATATAGTTCTTTGATTGCATTCATTGAATGTTTAAATCCAATTATATTTCCAACTGGAATTAATTTCCAAGTTGCTATCTCCATATCCCTAGGAACCCACGATACCTCTATACGTATTCCTGATTCAGTAGATAAAACAACTGCACGTATAACAGATATAAGTTCTTTTGATTTACGATTTAGACGTTTAAGTAGTATGAGGTCACCTGGTCGGACTTTGATTGGCACTGGTCCTATCGACATAAGACTGAATTTTTCTTTGCTTGAACGTGCCCGATATCGATTTTTAGTAGCTTTATAATCACCAGAAATGAGCTCTTCTAACGTTTGGACGCATAAAATTTTAACTTGTTTCATAAAATAATTGATTGCTATTCCCGAAGTAGTATCTTCTGTAGAAGATTGTAATTTTTGCTCTATAATTTCGGCCAAAGATTCCAAATGTTCCAACGCTATTTCAGAGGATGAGTAATCAAAAATTATATATGTAAATATCTCAAAAACTTGAAACATTGACAGAGTAGTTGAGCATAAAATTAACTCTACTACTTTTTTCATTATCAATGAACCATCTAAGTAATCGCCTGCTTTCAGGCAAGTTCCAATTAAACTGATCAAAATTCCGCTTGAAATTTCTGAATTTTGTTCTGGTGAATTTTTTTTTATTATAAATTCCACTAATGGAATATGTAAAATTGGATTTCCTGCTGAAAATTTAGCTAATCTTTCTAATTTTTGACGATCAAGTATAGAACTGATTGTTTCTAAATATTTCCTATAAGCAATAAAGATTTTATCATATACACCATACTTATTCCAGCATTCCATTCTTTTCATTAATTCCTCAAAATCATTTGTGAAATTTTTAACAGGATCAAGGGACAATAAATGAACATCTTGATCATCTGGATTATTTGGATCTGCTGGATTATAATCTGCATCAATATCCACTTGCTCTTCTTCTGCCGTGTAGTCAGGGTTAACCGCTTGGTATTTTACTTGCAACTCGTCACGATTACTTACTACATAGATTTCAGATTCACACACATTCTTTTTTTGAATCTTACTAGTTATTCTTGCGGTTTTATGACATAGCTTATCAATAGCAACGCTTATCGAAGAATTGACATAAAGTTCATTAAGCGAGACCACACTGGTTTCTCGTCGTTTTGGAGTACCAATCCAAACAAATGTGTTTCGTTTGTTTGTTACATAAAGCTGAAAATGTTCTTCGTTGTAATAAAGCTTATAATTTTCTAAACAAGACTTAAGTTTCTGAATGGTTCCACTTTGATTGAAACCATAGACATTAATCTTGCCATTAGCGTCGTTTTCAGAATCAGGTTCAAATCTGCCATGTAAAGTGATGCAAATGATGAGCTCATGATCAAATTTGAGAGCGACAAAGACTCGATGAAAGTTTGTGGCGGCTTTCGAAAGATCAGAGATTAGGTTGTTTGATAATGAATTCCCATTATTCTGATGAAATAGTTTCCAGTGATGGTTTGCGTCCCCAAAATTAAAATCGCGCATTTGCATTATTTTTACGATATGTGACATATGTAACCCGTTAAACAGAAAATGATTAGGGATCAAATCAGATACTAAACATTTTTCACCCGCGTTGAATGAAGAGAAATTTATGTAACAAAGAAACTCGTCAAGTTTTAAATTATTTGCTTTACACCATTTCATGAGAATACACAACATGTCATAGTCTGTTATATCATAGCGACCTTCACCTAGAAATTCGCGCAATTCTTCTGGATCTACTATACGTTGATTACTAAGATCTTCTGTGAAACTTTCTGAAATATTTTGTCGCTTTTCCTCTCGCTTTCTTTCTGCAGCCGTTACAAGTTTATTCCATATTCTACTTTGAAGAACTTGTTCAGTAACTTCAGGAGGCCGTTGCAAAATATCGGAAATCTTCACTGACTGACCGTCTATAGCAAGCGAAAACAATTTGTTTATTTCTTTACATTCTTCACAACTAGGTCCTTTTGCATCAGCCCACTTCGTAAACAGATTGGCACAGCGAGAAACACCTGCATTTGAATATTTAGCAAAATGCTTTATTAGATCAATGCGTTGAATTTTTTTTGGTAAAGGATCTTTTCCTCCGGGATAGCCATATGACTCAACAGTCTTCGGCGGCATGAGGTCTTGATCCCAACATGTGAAAAACTTGTCACCATCCAGATCACCTCCTGCGGACCGGTGTGCAGTGGGTATGTCACCATTTACAGAAAATAACAAAACATCAACAATATCTTCACATTCAGGAACATGCACCGCTTTAAGTACCACTATATCCCCGGCATGGTAACATGGATTACGGACACAAAATATAGGACCAACGATGGTTTTCGGTTTGTTTTCGATAGTTGGTCTAAAGAAGCATTCGTCTGGTTTCAATTTTTTGGTAGGATCTGACGCAGCAAACACTAGACGTGAATTTTTTACTATCATGCGTAATTTTTCTTGATCAGTGTCGTCACCGCTAGAACCTTTTTTTTTCTTTGAAGATGTTTCAAATTCATATCTATATGACTTTTTGAGGAAATGATTTATGTCTTTCGTGAAGCCATTCTCAATTAGATCTTGCGCAAGTTCTAATTCCCCTTTAGTCAAGAGATATTCAAATGCAACAGGCAATTCCTTAAACATTAAATCTAATCGTTCAAAATGTTCATCTTGTTTTTTTAAAAATACGTCATCGGGGACCCCGAGTGATGATAGAAGCATTATTATTTGAGTATTTAACCGTCCGAAAGTATATGGTTTGGAGTAATCAACCACACAAAAGTCATTTGGACCCTTGTAATTAAATTTTTTCATAGATTTTCGAAACTCACAATCTTTATTTGTTCCTTTAAGATGACTTCCTAGTAAAAGTATTCCTTTGAATCCTTGATAACGGATTTGAATAACACTAGGATAATGACGTTTATCTTGAAATTCAAGATCCATTTCTTTTGCTATTTTTTTTATTAGAGATTTAGAAACAAATCCACATCCGTCAGTAAAGTTAAAATTATTCCGTTCAATATCGTCGATATTGTCATACTTTTCAGAAGGCAATTCAAGTACTCTTTCTCCAGATGTAAATAATAGACCTATTCTCTTTGCTAGCTTGGCAACGTTTGTAAATTTAGACCAATCACCAAAGTCATTAAGCTTTTTCTGGATTTCTTGTTCGCTTGCTTGAAGTAATAAGCATTTTCTCTCTTTCAAATGTGAATTACTTTGTCCAAAATAATGATATCGTTTGCCATTTAAAAGAATACCCGCTGTAAGAACTCTGATTATATATTCCGATGTAGACTGGTTATTATCGAAACGCAATTTCTGAAAATCGGTCATCAAAAATTTGTCCGGATCCTCCGATCGAAAAATCCTGTTACTATTTTGGCTAGTTTGAACCTGACATGAGAAAGTGACCTCCGTAGCGGTGAATGTAAGCGTTTTCACAAATGTTTTGCCATTTTGTGCAGGTGGTGGTAAAGGTACATCTAGTTCAATTTCTTCAAGTGCTGAACTATTCGGAAATTTTTGACTGTTAGGTGCCATTTTCATTTAAAGTGATATGTTTATTGAAATTGCGGATTGTACTATATAAGTATACATTCGTCTGTCATTGTTAATTAAAAAGGAATTAATATTGATATACAAGTACACGTTCGTTTGTCATTGTTAATTAAAAAGGAAATTAATATACAAGTACACGTTCGTCTGTCATTGTTCCTTAAAAAGGAACAAAATACAGATATCAATATATATACCGATACAGTTAAAAACTGTGCATCACTCCTTTGATCAAATTAACGTCCGTAAGATGCTTTTCCCAACAAGTGTATGGATTGCAATATTTCTTACAATGTTCTCTATGTTTCTTTACAAAGCTCGTTCTTTTCCTTCTGGGTCAACTATATGCGGACCTCCTCTTAATATTTTAACTCGTTTAATAATGTTTATTCAACTTCATTTTTATTATACTGTTCCGGAATTCACAGAATTTTGGTGTCAACTCTATGGGGACAGAGTTGGAGTATGGATGAATGGAGGATACACAATTATTACTTGTGATGCGGAATTTGCTCAACAAATTCTTTGCGGAGTTAATTCAAAAAACTTTATTATAAGAATGGGTAATGATGATGGTCTGAAAGAAATTGGAATGTATCAGAGTGGCATTATTTGGAATAACGATGTTTCGAAATGGACACTTCAAAAACGTATATTTCAAGCTGGATTAGACTCCAATGCCCGACAAAGAGCTTCGATCATTGCAATAGAAAAAACTCAGCAAGAAATTAATCGTATTAAAATTTCCGCTTTAAAAGAAAATATACCGACTGTCGATCTTTTAAATGTATTTCGTCATATTACTCTTGCGATTACTCTTGAAGTGACCCTTGGCATTCAACTTGACTATGAAAAATCACAATACTTAATTGACTGTATTGTTGATTATTTTAAAGCATGGGAATTTTTTTTATTAAAACCACGTTTCATATGGTATTTATTTCCTTTACATTTATTTCATCACCGAAAATCCGTTTTAAAACTTCGAGAAGAAATTCAAAACATTATATCGACACTCGATCCGCAAAAAACCACATTCTTGCGTCAACTTTATAATAATAACTTGACAAATGAAGAAATTCAACAAAGTATTCTTGAAATGATTCTTGCGGGCACAGATACTTCTTCCGTTAGCTTATATTATACCATATTGCTTCTTATTGAAAACAAAAAAGTCGCAAACCAATTAGTGGAATCTTTAGATGATTCCCTTTTAGAAGCTGTTTTACGAGAAGCTATGAGACTAATGCCTGTAGGGCCAGTTATAATTAGAAAATCTTTGAATGACTGTGAAATTTCAGGAATTCAAATTAAAGCAGGAACAAATATTGTAATCAGTCTCGCTCGTATGAATCGTAACGAAAAGTGGTTTGAAGATCCGCTTAAATTCGACCCACAACGTTTCATAAATAATGAGGATTTGGCCAAACTTTCTGCACCAATGGGTCAGGGACCAAAATCATGTGTAGGTCAACGCCTAGCAATGGTTGAAATGATGGCTATTTTACCCGAGCTTCTCAAAGAATTCACATTTACAAGGATTGATGATACAAAACCGATAATTGACACAAGGACTAGATGGGATATAGCTCAACAACCTGTCTCTAAAGAAATTCTTAATGTACTTCCAAGAAAAAAAATTGTTTTTGTTGGAGCTCATAGCGTTGGTAAAACGACAATAGTAAAGTTTATTAAGAGTCGTATGAATGGGACTACAATTAGTGAGACAGCGAGACATTTGTTGAAAGAATTAAACTTAAATGCAGATATTCTTAAAAACGATCCTGATAAATCATTGGAATTTCAGGAGGCCATAATCAAGGCTCAGTGCAAAAGGGAAGAGGAGGTTGAACACGAATTTGCGATTTTGGATCGAAGTGCATTGGATGCTATAGTATATGCCCGGACGTACTGCAGAAAGCGGTGGAAAGAATTATTAGAACTTAAAGAAACAAAGAAATGCCTTGAACGTTATAGACAGAATAAGTACATAATGTTTCTAATCGAACCACGAAATGAGTGCTTGAGAGCAGATGGAGTCCGAATGATGCCAGCAGATTATGATGATTGGATTTCTTTTTCAGAATGCTTTAAAAAGACAATGAATGAATGTAACATCAAATTCAATGTCATAGATGTTTTAGACATTGAGCAGAGATACTTGAAAGTTAAAAATGCCTTGTTTGAGTAACCCTTTTTTTATTTAGTTCATTATGTAGATTTCACGACCACAACAAATTTTTTGAATTGTAGAAAAAATTTTATTTAACTTAAAATTATATCCAAGAAACTACATTTTGTATTCGTAATAATAATATCCTGATCCGTTGGGAATTAGCGGAAACGGAGTTTCCGCTTATTCACATACGGTCAGGGTATTAT